CGCGAGCGTCTGATAACGAGTCCCAGGAGAGATATCACAGTTATTACAGCGTCCGTATTCATCCTCTTCATCACTAACATGCTGGAACCTGTTCCTGTGAGCATGTGGCCGAGAACCCAATGAGGACGAGACCTACGAAGTGAGGACTCTTTGGCTCTTGAACGTTTCCTCGGTGAGCGACGACCACAAGGAGCACCGATGATCACGCCACCACCTCGTGCTGCGTGTTTCTGCGTGTTCTTTTTTTTAACATCGTATTACAGCGCAGGAGTCGCTGGAGACACCGGCTGGACTCTGAAGTTCTCAAGCAGCACGTGGAATGAATCTGAGCCTTTTGTCCCCATGACAACACGTTAAAACATTTACAATGTGGAGCCACGAGGGAGGGGGGGGGGCGCTCTGGACAACCTGTGGCCCGCCTCCGTTCCCCCGCTTCCTCTGTGACGGACCACCTGTGTGTGTGTCTGTATGTGTGTGTGTGTGGTTGTGCAGAGTGGACGGATGTGTGTCTAGAGTTGTGTTACAGGTCTAACGCGTGGTCCAAAGTGTTGTTGTTGTCCTCCTCGTCCTCGTCCTCGTTGCCCAGCGGGTTGCGACTGATGACCAGCTCCAGGCGGTCGCCGGCCTCCGTGATCAGAGGCACCGCCAGGCAGCAGTCAAAGTCCCTCGTCCTCACGTGGTTCACCTGGACGAGGACGCAGAGACGCACACACTGACACATGCTGTTGCTGAAGGGTTGGGGTCTAGTCCCCGAAGGGGGGGGGTTCCTGCTAATCCCGATCGGGTCCGAGCCGATGAGCTAGTAGCTCTGGTAACTGTGTGCCCGTCGGGGCAGATGTTAGCACACGTTAGAACTGTGACCTCGCTGGTCCTGCATCTGGAATGCGTGGGTCTACCTGCAGGATCCGGTCGTAGGGTCTGAGCCCGGCTCGGTCGGCGGGCCCGTCGGGTCGGATCATGTTGACGTAGACGCCTTTCTCCAGGAAGCCGTCCGACACGCTGAACCCAAAGTCGTCGATCTCCGGGTCCTTGACCACCGTCACCTGGTGGAGAGGGCGGGGCCGGTCGATCAGAGAGGTCACATGATTCAACGTGTCACAAACACCACAGATTGAAGGAAACGAGCCCCCGATCCGGAAGACCCTGAAGGCACCATTTCACATTAAGCAACTTTTATGTAAAGTTTCACAGTGATTTCTGTCAGTAAAAAACTAAAAGTGCCGTAAAAACACCCCCCCCATCATCCATCCATCCATCCATCCATCCATCCATCCATTCATCCATCCATCCATCCATCCATCTATTCATCCATTCATCCATCCATCCATCCATTCATCCATCCATCATCCATTATCCATCCATTCATCCATCCATCCATCCATTCATCCATCCATCCATCATCCATCATCCATCATCCATCCATCCATTCATCCATTCATCCATTCATCCATCCATTCATCCATCCATCCTTTCATCCATCCATCCGTCCATCCATTATCCATCCATTCATCCATCCATTCATCCATCCATCATCCATCCATTCATCCATTATCCATCCGCGTCGAGGGGAACGTTAATGAGGCGATAACAAAGCGTTCCTCGTTCTGACTGCAGATGTTCGGGCTGAACCTCGGAGGAGGTCGTAGTCGTGAAGCCCATAAAAGCTGAAGCTCCTTTGAGCAGCTCGTGTTCCGCAAAGAGAAAATGCTAAATAATGCAAATGAAATAATGTGACAGAATATCACACTTTCTTGCTCTTAAATTGCATTGACGTTGTTGACTCTCGTGTCACATGATAATCTGTACGAGGTCGTCACCTTGTGCAGCTCCAGAGGCGTCGGCGACAGAATGCCCTGCATCTCCTCTTTGATCCGCCGGGACTCCCACGTCCTCTCCGACACCCTCAGCGAGGCCTTGGGCTTGGGCTCGTGGTGCAGGAGGGGGGATTGGTTGTCCTGGTGCAGGTGGGCCGCGTGGTGCAGGTGGGCCTCGTGGAGCAGCTGGGCCTCATGGTTGAAGTGGGCCTCCTGGAGCAGGTGGAGATCTGGGCGGAACGACACGGTTAGCTTTCAAATAATAAATATAAACAGTTTCCCTTTTTGCTATTGGCCCTTTATGAACCTCCTCAGCTTACCTTGGTGCAGGTGGGCCTCCTCGTGCAGGTGGGGGCCCTGGTGGAGGTGAGTGGCCGGGTGGAGCAGGCTTCCCTGGTGGAGGAGAGAGTTCCTCCGCAGGGGGCTCATCCTGCTGTGGCCCAGCGGGGGCTCAGCAGGAGGCTTGTTGACTCCGTCTACACCCAGACTGATGGCTGTTCCTGTCATGATGGAGGCCTGCACACACACACACACACACACACACACACACACACACACACACACACACACACAAAATCAATCAATTGGATGATTAGTGTTAGTGTTAATCATTTTAGCTGCCATATATCAAAAGGTAAATGAAAGAGTATTGTGTTGCAGACTGCTGTGTTGAAGAAGACTTGAGACCATAAACTCATGTTTACAATGTTTACTGGGGGAATAAATCCAGAGAGAAGTAGAGTCATTTCCTCATAGACGTCTATGGGAGCAGAGGAGTCGCCCCCTGCTGGTCACTACAGAGAAGTAGAGTCATTTCCTCATAGACGTCTATGGGAGCAGAGGAGTCGCCCCCTGCTGGTCACTACAGAGAAGTAGAGTCATTTCCTCATAGACGTCTATGGGAGCAGAGGAGTCGCCCCCTGCTGGTCACTACAGGGAACGCAGCTTTATGACACTTCTCACCTCGATCTCTCTGAGGAGTTCCGACTGGCCGCAGGTCTCCAGGTCCTCCAGCGCCTGACACCAGAAGCTGTCATCTGGATCCAGCAGAACGCCGTCCACTTGTTGGCCAATAAATCTGTCACAAAGACAGCAAGCTGCTCTGAAATGACGAGGTGAACATACGTGTGGGGAAACACGCATGTTCTGCACGTCCGGGCTCCAGTCAGCTGGGTAGCAGTATGAACAGAGCCGGGGGGGAACACGGGTTTAATCCAACACGGGTAATCTTTTAACGCTCAATGTCCTTGACTGACGAGATTAATTCAGTTTCACTGCACAGCGGATTTTTTTTTTTCCGCCTCATCCTCCGTCTCTCCGCCTCCGCTAGTGTTACGTGATCGCAGCGAACGCCACTATCCTCCCAAGGCTTAGCTGACTCACGCACACACACACACACACACACACACACACACACACACACTGATTCTGCTTAGTCAGCCTCGCGGGCTCCATGACTCAAACCCCACAGCGACGTCTCCCATCACCAGCGACCTCTCGGATCCAATTCAACGTCCTGCTTTTAAGACTGAAGCAGGTTTCTGGGATGAAAATGAATCGAACTTTAAGCGCGCGAGAAACAACGTTACTCAAAGTTCTGCCGGGTGAAAACATGGCGGTTCACTCGGCTGGTACAAGGAGACGACGTGACGGCGGTGACAAGACGAGAAGACGAGACGCACCCAGCTGGTTTGTCCCAGTCGTCCTCGCTGAAGCCTCCGTCACTGAAGGGGTAGTTCTTCCGGCGCCCAGGTGGGGGCGTGGTGCCGCGCTGCTGCTTGGCACTGCGCCACTCGTGGGGGTGGAGGGCGACGCCTGCGGCCTGCTGGTTGTACATACCTGCGGGGGACGGGGGGGGGGTCTTTGTTACGCTATCGTCGGCCCACTTTGCCGAGCCGCCGGCGGAGCGTTTAGGGGCGTTACCCTGGCTGCCGTAGCCGGCGTCCAGGCCCGAGCCGTCCCAGGACTCCCTGGCCGAGTCCACGCTGGGGACGGTGGTGGAGTAGAGCTCCGACAGCTTGCTGGTCTGCTGGCTGTCCGTCAGGTCGTCCTCCTCGGGGTCACTCAGCTCGTTCTCCGTGGCGTCCTCGCCCTCGGCCGCTTTCCTCTCCTCTGCGTCTGGGAGTTTAAAGGAAACTGTTTGTTTTGACACCTTTTACACCTGAGGCCAAGGTGTGTGTGTGTGTGTGTGTGCGTGTGTTGTGTCGTTGTGTCGGTACCGTCACTCAGGCTGTCGAGCTGCTTCTTAATCTTCAGGGTGACCGTCTCCCCGGCCATCTGCAGCAGGTGGATGGCTTCGCTCAGCGGTTTGCCCTTCAGACTCACGCTGTTGATGGCCAGGATCCGATCCCCTACGTGGATAGCCCCTGTCCTGGACACGCACACGCACACGCACACACACGGTGAGTCTAATACATCACCAGCAAGCAGGAGATCAAAAGTACATCGCCATCCACCCAATAACGTGCTGTCAGTCCAGATGAATCTGTCCTTTTCCTTCTGCTTATACAGACTCAGGTTGTATGGGGGGGGGACGGGGGGCGAGGGGGGGGGGATCAGCCTGCTTTGATGGAGCCGTGTTGTCTCCCCGTGCACCACGTGCACCTCAGAGATCGCAGGAAGAAGCAGTCGCTGTGATCGTGTTCGTTTCGGTCATTTACGGGCTGTCAGCCAACCAGGAAGTGGAGCGGGAGGTGGAGGTCACTGCGTGCGTTGTGTGGAAGCGTGTCGGGGGGCCGAGCGGATGCTCATGACTCTTATGTCACGGCCCCTTCGCTCTGGTTACCGTGGTTACCAGTCCTTATCTCTTATTGTTTCACATCTGTCGGGTCGTCTTCATCCTCATCTTACTTCCTGTGGCTTCTGGATGGGATCGTAACACAACGTAACACAATCCGAGTAGAGCAGACTTTATATATACTCTAATATATATATATATATATATCTGTATATATCTGGCACCAGAGACAGAAAAGCCTCAGAGACAGAAGAAGAAATGTCCTCCATGCGACTGGGACACATGAGAGGGTGCGAACGTGGGACCGCCGCCAACGCAAACCTCCCCCTCCCAGGACAGGATTCCAGAGCTCTGAGGAATGGCGTGTTCACCGATCTAAATATAAAAGGCCATGGAAACACAGACCAGCTGAGATTAGCTCGTGTGTTTTGATGCTTTTTAAGTGCCTTATCAGAGTCACGCAGTAGAACAACGCTTGAGTGACGGGACACAATGTTCCTCATCGCCGACCCGGTAGGAGGAACATCGTGTCCTTCGATCTATTTAACTCAGATAAAGGAATTCTCCTCAGCGTTGCTGTTGTTGTGGTTTCACAATGAGGATGAAGACAAGAAGTTATGGTTTAATTCCATATCTCGTAAATGGATAACGGCCCAGAAGTAGCGTGCGTGTGCGTGCGTGTGCGTGCGTGTGCGTGTGCGTGCACCTCTCAGCCAGGCCCCTCTTGGTCAGGCCCGATATCGTGATGGGGTCAAAGGGCTCCTCGGTGCCGGAGATGGTGATACCCAGAGGGCCTCCGTAGCGCTTCAGCTCCACCGTGTAGATGATGCTGCCCGACGTCTCCTGCTCATCTGATGCACACACACACACACACACACACACACACACACACACACACACGTTAAGACCTCTTCAGTCCACCGTGTGATACCGCATCACGTTATAAGATCATGCAAAATGCTTCTACGCAGAAGTGGGTCAAAACTCCTTCCAGAGACAACAAAGGCAAAGAAGACACTGTTTCCATGGCAACTGGGGGAAAAGAACGCCTTGTCACCGTGGAGCATGAACACATAATGTAACATATTTACACCCCGCGTGAGTCCGTGTGCACGGATCATATCATCCGAGTCATAGTCGGGATTACACGACCTCGTGTCATTGTGTTTCTTTACACGGCGACACACACACACACACACACACACACGTGTTGATTGAATCCACCTGTCGTTTCCAAGAAGTGAAACGGGTCCTCGACTGGTACAAAATGTAAAACCCAACCAGCATTTATCATCTCAGTCCATTCCTTCCTCTTCCTTAGCGCTACGGGTCTCGGGGCCTTTAATAGATTGCGTTTAGGCGCACGTCTCTGATTGACCACGCAGGAGCCGCCTCAGGAGTCCAGCAGAGGGCGACAGCGGCCCCCCGTGGCCAACAGCTGCTACTGCATCTCCTCAAAGCTGCTGCTGAGCCAGGCCAACATGTGTTTAACCACATATAAGAAACAACAAAGCATCTGGAGACGAGTTTCCCTCGTGGAATCACCCCCCCACACCCCGTTTACCCGAGTTGTCTTCGTCTTTGCGTATCTTCAGCTTCACCAGCTCCTCGCACTGCTGCAGGATCTGCTCGGCGTCCTCCCTGGAGCAGTTCTCCAGCCGCACGTTGTCGATGGCCAGCAGCTTGTCGCCGGGCTCCAGCGTCCCTGTTCTGCAGGAGGGTGGAACCGTGTTAGCACTCGCAGAGCGGCGGTGCTGATCAGCAATCGGTGGACTGTGGTACCTGTGGGCCATGCTGCCCTTCTTGATGTCAGAAATGATGAGCGCCTCTCCTTGCTTCTTACTGGCTGCGGACGAGGACGACATCACACGGTGACACAGAGCGTTGATTTCAAATATACACAAGCCACATTATTGTTAATGAATATGATAATAGTTACAATGACAATATCATAACAGAAGATCCTCCTCCTCCTCCTCCACCCTGTAGGATGCAGTTTAATACGTGATGATACGTTGATCTTTCTCTCGGATCATTACAGCTGTGTATATATATATAAATATACATACTATAGTGTGTTATTAAGGTGTGCGGGTCCTCTCCCGGTCAGCAGTGAACTCTTATACTCAGAAGGTGGCTCCATCGCACCATCCTCTGCCTCAGTTATTCACACAGCAGCATCGTGAAGTCAAAATATAAACCTCTTTTTGATTTGGCTCATAAATGCAGCTTGATGCCACCAAATATCACTTCATGATGTATTATTACAGATAAAGTAATGAAGCCTTCACATTGTTACACAACTACGTTCACTCTTAGTGCATCGACTTTATTTGAATTCTAATACTTTTACTTTGACGTACAGTGGAGTACTTCTACACAGTTCTCTCTGTAATACTTATTGATGTACTTCAACGTCTTCTATCCAAATATTCAAATCAGCTGTCACTCGCCAATGTCACGCTCGCCCGACCGGAGGCCGATCACGGCAAGGAAGAGGCGGGCTTACGTTGCCGGTGACTTCCTGCCTCGACATCGTTGAGGTGATTGACAGCTACGGCGAACCATGTGGCGTGCGTGTTCTTACCACTGATGGTGAGCCCCAGCTCCACCCCTCTTTTCTTGGGCAGTTTGACGTGGAACGTCCCGCTGCTCGGCACCACCGACTCTGAGACACAAACACACGCGACAATACGAACACGTCCTCTCCTCTTTCGTTCCACAGACGTTGCTGTGCCTCAGAGCGCCAGCAAGTAGACGACGTTTAACACGTTATTTTCAGAGTAACGGTCTCGCTGGGGATTCGGCGGCATCGCGGTTCAACGGCAGGCTGAGAAACTCTTCCTCTGTTTAGAGATAATGACTTCTGACTCATTAAGTGATGCAACATCATGAAAGGCGACAAAGGAAAAAGCGGACGTGTAACCGGCGAGCTGCGATGAAGAGGAGATCACGAGGAGCAACAGGTACTGATAAGAGGTTTGCATGGATAGACGTTGCAACGAAGCTCCGTGTTTATATTTCAGCTTCTGCTTCCTGTCACGTGAGGACTCAACGGGCTTTAGAGTCACAATTAAACAAGCGTGTGTGTGTTTTTATCTTTAGCGGTCAGAAGGCCTCGCCACGCTCAGCGGGCTGAACACTGGCTTTAAATGGCGTTAAACACCAAGGAGGAGCTTTGACGGGCATCGTGGACAACGGGAGACACACTGCGTCGACGCGTCAATGAGCTTTTGCCGACAGCTTCGGCCTATTTCCACCGACTTCACGGACCTGCAACGTCGAACTCTACGTCCAGCGAGACCTTGTTGGTCAGCGCCGCGTCCCGCAGCAGCTGATTGGCCTCCTCCAGGGTTCCGTCTTCCGTGGGGATCCCGTTGATTGACAGGAGGCGGTCTCCGACCTGCAGCAGGCCGCACCTGCAACGGGGAGGGGGGGGGGGGTTACCGCGGCGATGAGGAGGCGAGGAAGCATTCGACGGCCGGGTGGATACGGCCGCATATCGACCCGGCCCGGTTTAGGCAGCCATGATATCCACATATCCAGGATCTGGTGGGCCAATAAGGGATCATCGAGAAAAACATTCAGAAATAAAACATGTTTATCATCCGTGACTGTTTGAATGTGATGAAACGCTCACTAAAGGGGAAAGTAGAAGGGAAACGCGGCGGCGTACTAATCCTCACAGTGGGAATGTCTGTTATTTTGTTAAACAGAAGAAAGCAGAAGAGACCTCAGACCCCCTGTTGTGTCACCGCATTCTATCAGCGATTGCAGATTTAAATGCTGCTGATTTTAAAGATTCACCAAAACATCCACCATCTAGAAACCGAGGAAGTTGGTGCTTCATTATGAAAACAGCGTGTTTGATAAACTCACCGGACACACTAACACTTGTGTTTTTAAAGGTTCATCATCATGGCGTTATACCATATTAAAACAGTGGCATTGACCTGCCAATCACAGTAAGCCCCGCCCCATTAAATATTAAATTACCTATCGAGGCCGTCTGCATCGTTTCGCTGTGGCTTCTTTTTTCCCTCTAATTATTTATTTATATGTAGATATCTACTTTGAGAAATACATTCACCTTTCATCTAGATTCCTTTTCTCTTTATTTCTTTCTGCTGCTTTTCATAAACCTTCTTCTTCTGCCACAACAAACCTCAGGCTGTGGTGAAGACTTCAAACTAGAGACTGAGACCAGACGTCTATGGGAGCAGAGGAGTCGCCCCCTGCTGGTCACTACAGAGAAGTAGAGTCATTTCCTCATAGACGTCTATGGGAGCAGAGGAGTCGCCCCCTGCTGGTCACTACAGAGAAGTAGAGTCATTTCCTCATAGACGTCTATGGGAGCAGAGGAGTCGCCCCCTGCTGGTCACTACAGAGAAGTAGAGTCATTTCCTCATAGACGTCTATGGGAGCAGAGGAGTCGCCCCCTGCTGGTCACTACAGAGAAGTAGAGTCATTTCCTCATAGACGTCTATGGGAGCAGAGGAGTCGCCCCCTGCTGGTCACTACAGAGAAGTAGAGTCATCTCCTCATAGACGTCTATGGGAGCAGAGGAGTCGCCCCCTGCTGGTCACTACAGAGAAGTAGAGTCATTTCCTCATAGACGTCTATGGGAGCAGAGGAGTCGCCCCCTGCTGGTCACTACAGAGAAGTAGAGTCATTTCCTCATAGACGTCTATGGGAGCAGAGGAGTCGCCCCCTGCTGGTCACTACAGAGAAGTAGAGTCATTTCCTCATAGACGTCTATGGGAGCAGAGGAGTCGCCCCCTGCTGGTCACTACAGAGAAGTAGAGTCATTTCCTCATAGACGTCTATGGGAGCAGAGGTCTAATACGACATAAAATGAGCAATAACTGTAATAAATACAGGATAAAACATGTTGTAACTTGTGGTTCCAATGACTGTTATGTGTAACTCAGAGTACTGTGAAGCTGTTTATTGGATTTAGTGGGGAGGTTCGGTGCGGGGGGGTACTTATCGATTCCTCCTGCGTGGGCGAAGGGAAGCTAACTAATTAGTGCAGCACTTAGAGAGGCTGTTAATACGACCGGAACATCAACCAGGGGACGACACACACACACACACACACACACACACACACACACACACACACACACACACACACACACACCATGCGGACACAATCGAGATTTCATTTCATTTCAATCGACAGTTCATTTAGGTTTCAGCACACACACTTAACACTTAAAAACATCCTGCTGGTGCACATGTCCACACGCATGTGACCTACACACAACTGCACAGGGTCGTGGTCAAGCTGCAGTCGGCCCCGCCGCCTTATTGAGGGACGGAAGTGACGTCCCAAAATAAAAGCCTCACTTAAAACATTTTTTTTCAGAAGTTCTCCACCGGGAAGTGAACCCGAGTGGCCCCCCAGGCGAGGAACCCACAGACGTCGTCTCACCTCTCTGCCGAGCTGTCGGGCTCAATGAAGCGGATGAGCGGCGGGGCGGACAGCGTCTCCGTGGCGAATATTCCCCCCTGCAGCTGCACGCCGAAGCCGTTGAGCGGGTCGCCGGTCAGGACGACCTCGCTGGTCTCCACGTGAACCACCTGACCCCCCGGGCCCACCGAGCTGGACGCCAGGGACACTGGACACACAGAGCAGTACGTTTGTATCCTCGGCTACTCGCTTCCCTTCCGGGACGGGACATGATGCGGCGATAGAGACGGGGGGGGGAGGGAGCTCACGGGAGCTTTTGTGCTCTTTCTTTCTCTGCCGCCGTTTGAGCAGCGAGTTGCGGGGGCTCATGGGCGCCGCCGCCCGGGGCAGCGTGCTGGAGCTCTGGCTGCTGGGGCCCGACGTGGTGGTGGAGCCGGGAGAGAAGCCGGCGGACACCAGAGCTGCCGAAAGAGAGGGAGGAAAGGTGGATAATCACCTGAGCAACAGCTCACCCAGAGGCAGCGAGGGGGGTCGGGGGGTCGGGGGGGGCGGGGGGGGGGGTCTTACTCTTGCAGTAGTCCAGGCTGGCGACGGTGTTGTTGTTGGAGGCGGTCCAGGACTTATTGAGGGTGGCGCTGGTGTTGCAGAGGGCGGAGTTTGATTGGTGGCAGTAGTTCACACAGGGGTCCCAGGAGTGCGGGTGGTCCGACTTCTGAACCTTCACTGGAACACACACAGTTGATTTGGTTTAGATTCTCTCCAGACGCCCCCCCCCCCCCCCCCCCGGACCACATGGTGGAGCGCTTCAAAGGAGCTTCTGGAGTCTTAAATAAGTTGGGTAAAAATTCATCAAACAAAAACACCAATCTGTGATTCATGAGCAAAGAACGTGGAACCGTCTCTGTCAGGTCGTTGGACTCGGGGGAACGTTAAACTGTGACGAGTCCACGTGTCGCATGTCGCCTCTCTGATGCTGAGCAACGAGTGCAATCCGCCCAGGACGGAGCCTTTGGTCCCACGCGTCTTCAGACACTCACAACAACGCTCCGGCTCGCCCGCCGCACAAAGATGGACCTTCAGCGGAACGATGGTTCCAAGTCCAAGAAATACCAAAGTCGCCCTTTAAATGATTGCTTGTAAACTAGTTGGATGACGTCATACAGAGTGAGAGGAGTCTGAGGCACAACAATGAGAAACGAGGAGGTAAAAGCGGAGAGCATCTGACGGCGTGCGAGAGAAGTGTAATGACCTTAATTAAGTAGAATCCTGCCCGTCCCTCACTTGTCCCTCACTTGTCTCCCGACCGATGAAACTCAGTAAAGGTCACCGGAAGAAGAGCCAAGGCAAAAGGCTTCAAGTTCCAGTCAGTCAGGAATCTCTCTTCTCTTCCTTCCAGTCGCATCTCCGTCTCACAATAAGTTCAACGCAGCAGTCGCATCCACAACCGAAGAAGTAGAAATGTAAAAGTCTTTTGGGATTTGGTGCTCAAATACCTGCAGCTCCGTCACTCATTGCCACCGTGCGTCCATTGAGCAATGAGGAAAGCTACTTTTAAGCCACTTTAGGAGCAGAAGCGTTTCCTCTGTGGATCGGACACGTAACCACTGGGTTTCAACAGCTGCGTTTGAGGACAACGTGTCAAAAAACAACATTGATTTGATTTTAGCCGCCTTACTAAACGCCATCTGGTCGACAACGCATCCAGATGTCGTGATGCGTTTGAGTGATTGAAGGACAATTAGTCCATTGAAATACACGCTGTGGTGACTCTGTTTTCCTGCTTCATTTAGTTGTATTCAAATGTTTGTATCCGTCACATTGATCTGCTGAAACACAAAAGCATTACAATCTCGTAACAACCCGTTACTTAAGAATCCTCAATGTAAGATGAGGGTCATTTCCTTTAAGTAAAGTTTTAGATTATCATGTTTGAAGCCTCAATATATTGACCTCTGGAATCCATGATTTTCGCGTGCTTGTGGTAAAAAGTGAGCACCAGAACCTTCTTCCCCGTCGATGTGTAACGTGGAAACAACATTCACGTTCTCAGCTGGCAACACATCCACAGAGAGCGCCGGCGTTCAGCTGCTACATCGGGATACATCACTTCCTGCTTTTCTAAAAACTGCAGTGAAAACGTGGAAACACCCAGATGTTTCTGCCTTTGTTGAGCAGCCTGTCAAGGTGTAGGAGACAAGCGCGCCCACCTGTGTCCTGCTGCTTCCCGGCCAGCCTGGTTTGGTGCGAGGGGAGCATCTCTAGTTTCACCAGCTCTGTGGTGCTGGCTAACAGCTGCGTGGCCTCCAGGACGCTGCAGTGCTCTGTGGACGTCCCGTCTATGGACAGCAGGTGGTCCCCAGCATGCAACGCTCCACATCTGGTAACAGAGAGAGAGAGAGAGAGAGAGAGAGGTGGAACAGAGCGCGGCAGGAACGAGCCCCACAACCCGGAGCTGACGTGTTGTCCCTTCAGGTTGTCCTGGTTAGCTCGGATGGACGCGCCGCAAACATGATGCTCATGCTAATGAAACAGGAAGTGTTGGACGAACACGACCCCCCCCCGTCCCCCACCCTCCTCCGGTCAAGCGGCGTTACTGCACAGCTCTCTCACCCACTCAAAGTGCTTCATGTATATTTCAGAGGCCGACTGCTGCTCGGTGTTATGGGGCCAGATGTGCGTCTGTGAGAGATTAGGTTGCATTAATATGCAGCTTTCTAAGCGTGAGAGGTGACATATCGAAGACAAGAGGTTCTTCAACTGTCGTATGACATCATCACGGCCGTTGTGTTCTCCATGATGGGGGAGAAGTAATGGTCCCATAATACTTTATATTTAGTTGGCGTTCAGTGTGCTTTCATGATCAATTTACAAATACACATTTTCCTTTAAAGGTATTTGAGAAGCATTTTTTCGGCCCTTAGTTTAGTTTAGTCAGGAGGAGAGGAGGAGGGGGAGAGGATGAGGGGGAGAGGATGAGGGGGAGAGCGTGGATGTGGAGGAGAGGATGACGGAGGAGAGGGTGGATGTGGAGGAGAGGGTGAGGGATGAGAGGGTGGATGTGGAGGAGAGGGTGAGGGAGGAGAGGGTGGATGTGGAGGAGAGGGTGAGGGATGAGAGGGTGGATGTGGAGAAGAGAATGAGGGAGGAGAGGGTGGATGTGGAGGGGAGGATGAGGGATGAGAGGGTGGATGTGGAGGAGAGGACGAGGGAGGAGAGGGTGGATGTGGAGGAGAGGGTGGATGAGGAGGAGC